GTCGCTTTTTTCACAATAATACTAGTATTTTTCGTTCGTTATTGTTTTAAGCTTATTTAAAAAATATTTTTAACTTTTTAGTTCGATGTTCTTTATGTGTGTTTTTTTGTTATTTCAACTATATTTAATTTTCATTTTTTAGTTTCGTATGCTATAAAAGCGTGTTTTTTAGTCTTTTCAAAGTATATTTATTTTATCTAAACTTTGGAATCAATCAGCCGTATATTGTTTAGAAAAATGACCATTGATATTTTCCGGTTCCGGAGAGTGAGCCTGAAAAAATCAGCTACCAAGGCAGCAGGTGCGCAAAGGAGGGTTACAAATAAGGCTGCAGGCGTGAGTGTTGATAAAAAAAATGATTTTTTCAAATGAAGAAATACATGTAAAGTGAATTATATCAAGAAGGCTACGTACAGCGCCATCTGCCCGCGAATAGATCAAGCAATAATGTCGATATTTCTGTCGAATACAGATCCCGAGCTTGAGCGTTACAAACAAACAAACAAACATACAGACATACATACATACAGGTTAAGCTAATATAAATCGTTTAATAATGAAAACACTTTTCTCTACTAACTTTATATTCCAAACATTCGTTATGGATAGTTCGTATTGGAAACTCTGGCGTTAAATGAATCTACTGAAAACACTTTTCCAATACCAGAACAAAAATTACGGTTTCTCGACGCGCGTTTCGCTAACCAAGTTAGCGTCCTCAAGAGATCATTATGACTGAGAGACCGTAATTTTTTTTCTGGTGTTGGGAACGTGTTTTCAATGTATCCGTTATGGAACAGAACCAGATATCATTCACAGAATTTCTACACAACTAAATGAATGGTAAAAATTTCACTTACATGTGTAGAAATCCTGTGAATAATATCTGAGTCAGTTCCAGAACGAATGTTTGGAATACAAACTGAGTAGGGAAAAGTTTTTTTGTATAATTCAGTGTTTATATATAAAAGTATTTGCTTCGAAAGAATTTTTCTTTCGTGTAATTAAATGAAAGTAGTTGTTTCAGGAGGGCCTTTTCTTCCAGTTTGTGTGAAAGTTATTTCTTTGCATAATCTACACATCTATGTATAGAGTTACTTCTTTTGAAATTGATTGCTTCCTTTTTTTCTTTGGCAGGTTCACATATATTTTTGTATCAAGATGGAGTAGTGGAATGCCAAAAACTTTCTTTCCCAAAAATCAATCACTTTTAAAAAATATAGCCCTTTCAATTTAAACAATAAACATATAAGTATTCATTTTGTTATGGACAAGTTACAGGCAGAAAATTATCCTATTTTGAGTATTAATCCGTAGGTTTTTTTTTTATTTCAATAAACCGCATCAACCTTTTGGGTCATTAGCGGTGGAGTTGATAAATAAAATTTATAGTCTAACATTTCTTTCAAATTAGGGGATATCTTAAATGTGTCTCTCTCAGTTTGGAATAGAGGGCATTGCATAATATGTTTCACAGTTAGTTGAACTTCACAAATATCACAAGTTGGTTCATTTTGTCCTGACAGCAGGTATTCGTGTGTGAGCTTGGTGTGTCCTAGGAAGGATTGTCACTTGTTCTCTTCTTTTCGTTAAATGATTTTGCCACGGTCCTACGTTTGGTTTGACTTCTTGTGGTTTCGATTGTGAGGCCTGCCAATCAGTATTCCAAACGTTCTTCATCTTGTTTTGGATGTAGGATTTTATGTCTATCGAAGGAGTGTATTGCAGCGCAGCCTGGTTCGGGTTATTGATTGCTTCTCGAGAACTTTTATCGGTCGATTCATTTCCAGTTATTCCTGTATGTGAAGGAACCCAAAGTAATATTATTTCTTTCTTCAATGATTGGATGATAAAAAGTTCTCTTTTATTCAGTCTTCCTAATGGATGGTTTACGTATATTCGACGAAGTATTTGTAGAGAGCTTAATGAATCTGATATAATCATGAACCTTTTAGATGTGCTCGATTTTACGAATCGTAGCGCTTGCAGGATTGCGAAGAGTTCCCCTGTGAGAATCCTATTGGTTTCCGGTAGTTTATAGGTTAGGGTAGTCTCAGGTGTAACAACTGCTGCTCCTACTCCAGAATCTGTTTTGGATGCATCTGTGTAAATTTCGATGAATTCTTCATGATGTTGTAGGATTTCACGAAAGTTCTGGATTATAATTTGTGTGTTTGGGTTTTTTTAATCCATAGGTTTTTCAATGTAGATATTTATAATTTTTACTTCACAAAACATGTCTTGTTTCAAGTCTTTTCCATTCACGACCGTCCCTCTGACCTCCGCGCGTAAAGTCTGTGTCACCAGTGATGAAATGTTAACAGTAATAATAATAATAAACAAACCTGAACCCACATACAAGAACAGGTGAATACCGAACAGTAGGTTTTACTGTTTCCGAAATATAAATAGTGAGATCAGCTAAAAAACGGCCTGTATATGTAGCAACTGTTAGAAAAATGACTTCTCTAGAAAATAATCTTATTATTAATTTTCAGAATGGCTTCAAACTTTCCCAGTTATTTCTACTTCTTTTTTGTTGTCGCTGTATTGACATGTGAGTTTACATACATTATTTAGTGATATTATTCATTATGATCAGTAAGATACCTCCAAACAACTGAAATCTCGATCACTTTCAGGTCTGACAGAGGCTCAAGTGCGCATAAAATCCAAGAAGTCAGGATAAGTCTTTGTGACGGCAAAGGGTCTAATGTTGAAGTTGCTGAGCCTGACGATTCTGAGGGCCAGAAGTGGATATTGGAATGCAATCAAAAAGGCCATTTCATTATCAATAGTGAGAGACAAGAGTGAGTTATCACGTAATGAAAATCAAAGCCATTTGATATCTGTAAAAATCATCTCTCTTAGCTTGCCTGCCAGAAAAATTACTTCCCTGGATATAACCATCGCAATCATTTAATTTGGTTTCTCAGACATTTGTGTGAGATTCCTCGCAAAACTCCCTGCTTTTTTGCTGCTTGCTGTTCAACAGCAGAATTTTACTGAAATCGATTGAATGACTCTTTTTGGAATTAATGAAAGAGGTTCGGGTTTTTTAACATTATCAAATGTTAAGGAAATTTGGTCCACGTTGGCAAAAATTGGGACGATGCATTAGCTATCCACCGAATAAACTATTCACTCCACGAAAAAATCATATGGTCGTTACGGAGACATTGAAAGAAAAATCTTCAACTTTCTCTATTTTCTCAAATATTCTCTGAATTTATTATTGATTTCAAACGAAAATAACAATATTCCTTTTGAAGAAAACATACATTTTTTGAGAGGAATTGCTTTTTCAACGAACATTGATAATTTCGTTATTCGTCGTCATTTCGGAAATAATGGTTGAAGGTTTTTATTTCCTGGTTATTAAAGTCACCAAAAAATATGTTTAAACTTTTTTGAAGAGGAAATAGTAACCTCGATCAGTTGAGTATTTATTTGTCGTGATGATCAGTTTTTTGAACATCCCACTCAGCTGACACATTTGAAACAGTTTCATAACTTCTCAATCAAATCAATGTTTAATTTCATTATTAAATAAGCTCACCTGGCGTACTGGCATGTGGGTTTTGTATTGTACCGTCTTAGAATTAACGAATGTTGTGTTATCAACTTTTTTACATTGTATTTATGAAGCTCAAAGTCTAGCTATACTTACTGAAGGTATTCCAATTGAAATTGAGTTGATGGTTGAATTTGAGAGTAGGAATTTCGTTAATTCGGTTTTTTGAATAAATATTCATTACAAAGAGACATAAATTGATAAAATCTTCTGCAAAAAATGCATGTTAATTTCAAGGGCATACAATGATAGCATTTTATTTTGACCTCGTTATTACTTATCTTGAACAGAAAATTATTTAAGTAAATGTTCAAAATGTTTCTCGTGAACCTGCTGATAGTAAAACAGTCTAATTCCGAACTCATTTCTGGGTTAATGCTAGCACAAGTTCTGTCGAAATATTGATCACCATTCAGATTTTACTCTAAATATATGGGACCAACAATAGACCTGGCAACACTGAAACGGCGCTCTTCTCGTTCGATTTCTTCATCTGCAGTGCATCGATTCGCAATATTCTATGATCTAATTGCATTACGGTTTCTTTGTGAAAAATTCGATCTCGCTGGAAGCATTATAAATGATACTGTGATGGACATTGTTGATTTTGTTTGTATTATATGACATAACAGTTGTTACATATGTATGTACACATGCGTGTGAATATGCGTATGTCCGTTTAATTACAAATGCCATAGCCTCAATTATCTTGGCGCGCACCATAACAACTGTTATAACCTAACAAAGCGAGCGTCATCAATTTGTCATCATTGATTTTTTTTCTCAAGTTTTCAAATATAACATTTTTTAATAGCTATTCTGCTATTCCAGGTGAAGACAAATTTCGCTTTGTTTATATATTTGATGTGGTGCTCTCTACGTAATCATATGAAGCTAAAAAATATATTTTTATGATTCTAGTTTAGCAATGGATATACAGAAAGGCTGTAAAATTGGTCAAAATGTCATGGTTTATGGTAAACATTCAAGGCAGAATCAGCAATTCTTCATTAATTCCGATGCAACTATTGGTACAGCTTGCAATGCAAATCTTATTCTGTTGGTGAAGGATAGAAACGTAGAAGTAGCACCAAGAGACAATTCTACTGATCTTGACATACACTTTGAAATTGAACCAATCGAATGATCAAGAAATATCAATGAAGAATATTGTACTTGAGTACTTTCACTAATGATAAAAATTAAATATACATATAATAATATGTCGTGTTATTTTCCAATATTCACTTCAACCCGTCCACTGAATGGCTTATCTCGAAGGCTGAGATATGACAACCAACTATACATACAGGTACTGCACTATTTATAAAAAATACTTTTGATTTCCACCCCTTAAACTAACAGCTGTATAAAAGTGAACTAAATGCCGAATTTTGCGGCATAGAATTGATGAATCCTAAAATTAAAATCATCATTGTCTATAGGTCTTGCAATGGCGATATCGATTTGTTTTTCAGTAATCTAGAAAATCTCCTAAATGTTATGGTGAAAGCTGGTAATCAAATCGACAATATTCTCACAAATTTGAATAGTGATTATATTCATACAGGAGTTTTTGAACCCTGTATAGCTGACCACAAGGCCCAATATATCATTTTAAATAAAAACCTAAACTAATCAATAAAACTATTTATTCCAGGAGAATAATCAAAGCAACTTTGAATAAACTAAAATCCTCCCTTTCGGAAACGAACTGGGATATTTTTAAAAGCTCTACCGATATTAACATGCTTGCTTCATATTTGTCCAACAGGTACACTTCTTTGGTTCACAAACACATGCCTCTAAGGAAATCCATACCTATTACCAATAAATCTCCAGTAATCTGGTTCGACGATTCCCTGAAAACTTTCAGAAAGACATTGACTAACGTCAAACTTATAGCTGTCCTGAGCAAAGATTATTCTGATGTTGAGCTATATAAGTACCTAAAGAGGGACTATAAACAACAAATAAAACTTGCTAAAAAACGAGCTTATGATGATCACATTCGTTCAGCAAAAAATAAATCTAATGCTTGCTGGAAGATCATCAATTTCGAACGAAATAAAAGAACTTATCAAATTGCTTTCCATATCTCACCGGAAAATTTCAATGACTTTTTTGTGGATATTGCAGAAAGTATCATGAAATCTTTACCTAAATTACTCATACCTGATTTACAAAACTTTTCCAGCTCCCTGCAACACCTTTTTTCTCAAGCCCGTTACCGAGCTTGAAATCACAGAAGCGGTAAAATCTCTAAAAGATTCAAACTGCCTAGATGGCCAAGATTTAAATAGTTCTATAACACAACACAACAAAGTTTTTTTTTCGGGGTTGAAATTAGATGATTTTAATGTATTTCCACGTGTTAAAACCGAAAGTGACCATAAAAATTATATATTAGCTCTTGTTTTCAAGATATAGTATCATTATATTATATATATGTATATTGAGTTTTCAACAAATGAAATATTTCATCACCAACAGTTGGTACACATGTTTGTTTACATAACACCCCTCTCATCAGCTGTTCTTAAGTAGTAAACATAACCTATGTGAGTTTGTCAATTGTACG